TAAAAGCAACAACAGTGTATGATCAAGTGAGTTTTATTCCAGGAATTTAAGGATGGTATATTGAACATCATTGAACATAAAGGTAATTCACTATATTGACAGACTAAAAAAGGAAAATCCTATTATCCTCTCTAGATGCAGGAAAAGCAGATGATAAAATTCAGTACCTATTCATGGTTTTAAAAAACAAAACATTGTCAGCAAACTAGAAATAGAGGAGAACCTCCTCAACCTGATAAGGGACATCTACAAAAACCCTGGATTTAACATCATAATTAATGGTTAAAGAATGAATAATCTCTTAAGATTGGGAGCGAGATAAAGGCATCTGCTCTGCCCTTTCTGCTCAATGTTGTACCAAGGTCCTAATTGGTGCAATAATGCAGTAAAAAGAAAGTGTATAGATTAGAAAAGATGAAGTAATGTTGTATTTATTCACAGGTGACATAATCCTCTATGTAGAGTCCGGTAAGGAATTTATTAAAAAAAATCTAGATCTTATTTAGCAAGGCTATATAGTCAATATACAAAAATCTTATAATTTTTGTATGCTAGTAATGAAAATTAGAAATAGCATAAAAAAACATAAAATATATGTAGAGAGGTAAAATGTGTGTAAGACCTGTACACTGAAAACTATAAATCTTGCTTAGAGAAATTAAAGAAAATTTAAATAAATGAAGAGAGATGCCATGCTCATAAATCAGAACACTCTAAATGTTACATACCAATTCTCATTAGATTGAACAATAGATTCAATGCAAGTGCAATGAATTCCCAGCAGGCCCTTTTTAGAAAAAGCATAATGTATTTTTTATTATAAAGTATACATAACATTTACCATTCTAGCCATTTTTATATGTTTATTTGAGAGAGAGCACATGCACATGCAAGCAGGAGAGGGGCAGAGAGAGAGAGAGAACCTCAAGTAGGCTCCGCCCTGTGAGCGCCAAGCCCAAAGTGGGGTTCCATCTCAGGAACCTGTGAGATCATGACCTGAGCCGAAATCATGAGTCAGACACATAACCAACTGAGCCACCCAGTCACCCCAAACCACTTTTAAATATACAGTTCAGTGGCATTAAGTACATTTACATTGCTGTGCCACCATTACCGCCAAACGTCTCCAGAACTTTTTCATTTTCCCACACCAAAATTCTTGTACCATTAAATAGCTCCCTAATTCCCCTCCCCCAGCCTCTGGCAACCACCATTTCACTTTACATCTCTGACTTTGCTACTCTAGGAATCTCATTTATGTAGAATCATGGAATATTTGTCCTTTTGTGTTTGGCTTATTGCACTTAGCATAATGCCCTGAATGTTCATCTGTGTTGTAGCATGCTAGCAGACTGGCTGGCCTGCTTTGTTTCTTTGTTCCTTTCCTTTTCTCATTCTTCCTTTCTTCCTTTCCCTCCATTCTTTCTTTCCATTCTTTCTTTCCATTCTTTCATTGAAAGACTGATTTAAAAATTACATGGAAGGGGTTCTTTCCATTCTTTCATTGAAAGACTGATTTCAAAATTATATGGAAGGGGTTCATGGGTGACTCAGTCGATTAAGCATTCAGCTCTTGATTTCAGCCCAGGTCATGATCTCACAGTTTGTGAGATCGAGCCCTGCATTGGGCTCTGTGCTGATAGCATGGAGCCTCCTTGGGATTCTCTCTCCCTCTCTCTCTGACTCTCCCCCTGTTCACTCTCTCTTAAAAAAAAAAAAAAACAAATGTGTGTGTGTGTGTGTGTGTATGGAAATGCAGTGGACCTAAAAGAATCAGAACATTTTAGAAGGAAAAAGGATAAAGTTGGAAGACTTATACTACCCAGTTTCAAGATTTATTATGAAGTTACAGTAACTAAGACAGAGTGGTATTGGCATAAGGATAGACATGAGTAGAACAGAAGAACAAATCCAGAATTAGATGCACAGAGATGTGACCAGTTGATTTTTCATAACCTACTGAGATTCAGTGAGGAAAGGATAATACTTTCACCAAAATATGCTGGAACAACATGATATCCATATGAAATGTAATGAACCTCAATTTTTATCTCATACCACATCAACCTGAAGTTTATCATAAACTTACATATAAGAGCTGAAATATAAAACTAAAAGGAAACATAGCAGAAGTTATTTGTGACCTTGGGTTAGGCAAAGATTTCTTAAATAGGACACATAAAAGAAGATAGAGAAAGCCATTAAGTTGGATTTCATCAAATTAAACATTTGCACTTGAAAAGGCAAACTATAGAATGGGACTAAGCATTCACAAAACATGTAGCAGACAAAGGACATAGCTAGAATTATGTAAAGAACTCTTTTGAAACAACCTCCCAAAAATGGACAAAAGATTTGAGTAGACCCTTGACAAAGGAAGATACATGAAAAATAAGCACATGAAAAGATGCTGAACGTCATTACTAAGGGAAATGCAAACTAAAACCACAATAAAATAACACTACACACCCAAGAATGGCTGAAATTAAAAGACTGATAATATCAAGTGTTGCTGAGAATGTGGAACAACTACAATTCTCGTTTAATGCTGGCAGGACTGTATAATTGTACAGTCATTTTAGAAAACTTAGAGTGTTTTTTTCTTCTTTTTAAAAGTTAAATGTACATTTACCATACAGTCCGGCAGTCTTTTTCCTAGACTACTCCTAGAGTGTTTCTGTGTTACCAAGGATGAAACATACCACACTCAGACTTGTTCACAGATATTCATAGCATCTTTATTCACAGTAGCTCCAAAGTGGAAACAACTGAAATGTCCATCCACTGGCAAATGGATAGGCAAATTATCTGTCCATTCAATAGAATACTACTCAGCCATAAAAAGGAGTGAACTACTGATACAGCAATGGATGAATCTCAGAAGCATGTTAAGTGAAAGAAGCCACACGTAAGAGTATATATACTATATGATTCCCCTTATATACAGTTCTAGAAAAGGTAAAACAGTGATAAATCAGTGGTTGCTAGGGGTTGGCGGGAGGAGGAGACTATAAAATAGCACAAAGAAGCTTTTAGGATGATGTAAATATTCTGTGTCACTATTGTGTTGGTTATAAGACTGAATACATTTGTTAAAACTTTCCAAATCACACACTTAAAATTGGTGAATTTTATTTTATTGAAGCTATGCCTCAGCAATGGGAAGAGAAGAAAAAAAGGAAAGAAAGAATATGATAGCATACCCCCCTCCAGGAGCTCCCAGTCTATGTAGGGAGTCAAGATAGTCTGGAAGAAACTTAAGACAACGAATGATTAGGAGTCAGGTATAGTTCAGTTAAACATGTTCTATCACGCCTAGGACTGGTAGCTGTAACCCCATGCCCTGGGATGGTTATCAGTAATGCTCGGTTATGCCATGAGGGAAGCAAGTCCAGCTTCCTTCGAGGAAGGAATTTAAGAGACTTTCTTCTTAACAAGTCAGCCTGTCTTACTTTTATCAATCTGGAAGGACTCTGGACTCTTCCCTGGGTAAGGCACCTTGAAGCAACTGTACTTCAACTGGAATATGTACAGTGTATCCAGCCTGGTGCTGGGAATTTGAAAGAAACACACTTTAGGACAATCACTGGGAGAATAGAAACCAACAGTTGAGAAGTACTGGGAAGTTAACAGTATAGGTGAAGACACAGACTACATGTGGAAAATGGTGTTATTCTACATGAAGAGTATTTGTGGGCATATGCCTGTGGGTCATGGGTTTCGAGTAGCAGTCTACTGGAGATGAAGTACCAAACTTAGTGGTTCTAGTAATAACCCTGAAGCAGAAAGAAACTAACTCTGAGGCCGCAAAGAGAAAGGGATCTAATTTGAGATGGATGCTGAGACTTAAAGAGGTGGAAGGAAAAGAAAGAATTTTCTCCCTGTTACAGGAGATATATGTGGACAACCCACTTGAGAAAATAGCCCCATCTCCTAAAAAATATTACAGGTGTAAAGAGTTTGATTTCTTCAGAGAAAAAGTAGAATTTGGAGCCAAGGAGGCAAAACTGATAGCTTTGTTGAATCATGGTTTTATCAAGAATAGATACATTTCCCATTATTTTTTGCCAGGTTAGAGTGTGACTAGTATATACAAAGCAAGTTATTCCAGGAGATTCATGAAAAAAGGTCTGCAGCTTTAGATTGTTTTATTAGAGGTGATCATCAAAGACAATGATTAGGGAGGATGTTGACAGTGAGGGATGCTGTGCATGTGGGGGTCAGGATGTATGGGAGCTCTATACCTTCGCTCAATTTTGTTGTGAACCCAAAGTGTTCTAAAAAATAAAATCTATTTTTAAAAACAATTATTTGTAAATGTGGCTTTGTTTGACAGGGTAAGAATTGAGTTTGGAAATTTTCAAAAACTTCTTGGAGGTCAGTTTTCTGAGTAATATATAAACAGAAAAGGAACAGTGTGCCATGTTTTTCTGGCTCCAGACCCACTTCTTTTAATTGAAGCGCATTAAAAGTCAAAATGAAAGAGCAAGTCTTGATTTCAGAGCATTGGGCTTTCTGAGTTAGGAAAAGCTGGTGAGCTGGTCTCTGATGAAGGGAATAGCTGCTCCCAGGAGGCTCTCCCGCCATCTCACCCTTCCTTACCTGTCTCACTCGTCAGTGTAGGGCCTGTGGCCCAGCCCCTGTACTGTCTGTGTAAGGAGAGGGGTTGAGCAGCACTGGGTATCATCCGGGTGCCTGAGGGAATTGATGGAGGGAGTGGGGCACAGGTGAGCAGACATCAGCTAACTGCCTCTCAGAGCTCAGGCGGGACAGGCAGGCCTCTGGATTTGGCATCTCTTAGAGGGTCATGGAAGTGTTAACCATTGTTCTTTTACCAGGAAGCTGCAATGAAAAGTGTCGGGACTTCTGGCCTCCTCTTCAGTTCCCTGAAAATTCTCTAGCTATGGGAACATTCCAGAAACTGTCAGGAACATCACTGAGACACACATCTAGACCGGAAGTGGAGGCTGGTAATAACAGCAGTAGCAACAACAGCAATGATGACGGCTGTCTTTGGGTACTTGTTCCGTCCGAGTACCGTGCACCTAACATGCATTACTTCACTTAATCCCCACAACACCATACGAGATAGGAACTGCTATCATTCCCACTTAACAGATAAGGACCCAGACTTAGAGCTCCAGGGACATGTCCAAGACTGCGCAGCCACCACAAATCAGAGAAGTTACCCCAACTCAGAAGTGTTTACCTTTGGAACATCTGCCCCTAACCGCCGTACTTACTGTTGCAGTCATCTGAAAGTGATCGCTTGCTTTGCTTTGGTCCGGAGTCAAGGTAGATCGTGCCTGATCCAAGGGGACTGGACCAGAGAGAGGGGCTCAGGAGTGTGGAAGGATTCAATGCCCTTGACCATGGATGTGGGCTGGATGTGACAAATCAGAGGTATTCTCTTATCTCCAGATGTGTCTGCCTCGCCCAAATTCCCATCTTCCCAGCATGACCTGCAAGCAAATAAATGTCTAATGTCTCATTATCAGAACTCAGAGTGCAGTTGATTTACACGTTTTTAAATAGTATGTGTGGAAGTAGGCAATGACCATACTGTGCTTCTTGTACCCTGTTCAAAGCCTTGCCCGTGTGGAACTGAGCCTTCTCTGGTGATCTGTGAGTGCGGCAAATCCTGCTACAGAAGGAAGAACGATTTACAGTAATGATGCTAGAGTCTGCTAGAATGCAAGCTCTATGTGAGCAGGGATTTTATTTGTAAAAAGTTGTATCTCCAGGATCTAAAACATGTAGGAAGTGTTCAATACATATACGTTTAATAATAATTACTAACTCTTCAAAGTACTCGTTCATCTACTATAATACTTGAGTAGGAAGGATAGTTTCTTTTTTTCTTTTTTAATTTTTTTGTTCCCCTCGCATTGTTGAGAAGGTGTGAGGAAATTGAGCCTTAGGAAAGTTAAGTGAATTATCTTGGTTCCAATAGCTAATTAGGAGAAATAGACTGGGGCCCTGGCTTCCCATTTCCTATTCTGAGTTCTTTCCTATCATTATCAGTCTCATTGGAATATGTTATTTCTGCCCATAGTGGGTTATGCTTTTATTTCTGTGATTTCTGCTTTGGGTCTACTGGCTCCAGGGTTCAGAGGAAACATGGTCATTTCCTGTGGCCAGTTTTGATTGTGGTGAGCTACATGGGCAATGTTCAGAGTGACCACCATGGCATAGTGACAGCTGGGCATGCTCACGTCTTTCTGAACAGAATAGTGCTGTACTTCATTGATTCTAATATAAATACCTCTCTTGCTTATTTTAACATCTCTGAAACCTGGAGCGTCTGGGTGGCTCAGTCAGTTAAGTGTCTGACTTCAGCTCAGGTCATGATCTCGTGGCTTCTGACTTCGTGCCCCACGTTGAGCTCTGTGCTGACAGCTCAGAGCCTGGAGCCTGCTTCGGATTCTGTGTCCCCCTCTCTCTCTACCCCTCCCCTGCTTGCACTCTGTCTCTGTATCTCTCTCAAAAATAAACAAACGTTAAAAAAAAATTTGTTTAACATCTCTGAAGCCTGAACAGGTTTGCGATCACTTGTCACGAAAAGACATTGAGTTTTTCTAGAGAGGGTATGTGTCTGCTTCTGCCAGTGCCCTAGAGGTGCTATCACCCTGAGGTCCTTCAGATTCAATTCTTTGCTTGAAGAGAGCTCAATGCAGACTGTCAGGGTGATTTTTCCCCCTTCCTTCATCCAGTACTGTGGCTGAGCCTTGCTGTCCTATTCTGCGGGAGGAACACTCTTTGGTTGGTGTTTGAGTTCTATCTACGTGGGTGTCACCTATTATTAGACTTGCCATTTGGGATACTTTTCTTTCTTACGGTACATAAAATAATGGGCCTCTTGTGATTGATGACTCTTAGACTTGATGACATATGGAGCTTCCCTTTACTGAATTGTTCCTATTCATGAGACACTTTGCATACATGTCTTAGGTTCCTTGGGAACAGTGTCTGAGACTGAGATTTGATACTGAGCGTGCTCTCAGGATCTGCACCTGTGGGATGGGGAAGGAAGCCTGACTGGCCAGAAGGGGAAATTTAACTCCAATGCAGTCAGGACAAAGGCCTTACCTGATCCTAGAGGGAGTAGGGATTCTGAGACTGGGGTGATCCTTCAGAGCTGTCTCTAGCTGGGGCAAGCAGCAAGCAGACCTTTATACTCCCACATCCACCATTCACTGGGTGCAAGCTCCACCTTCTACCCAACACCCTGGATGGTCTGTAACTTTGGACGCGGTCTCCCTTGGACCAAAGGCAATTTGGGGGAGTATGTCAGATAGTGGCTATCATCTGGTGGCTGGGGAAAACTGCCTCCATTCATAGGGGAGATCTGGGTGGCACACCACAGCCAGCAGCACATATATCATCTCATTCACTCTTCACCCTATGGGAATTACTGTCATCGTCAATATCCAGTATGCAGATGAGGACACTGAGGCTTGGAGAGATTGAGCAGCTAATGTAAGTTGCAGAAGATTCATATCCGGTTCTGACATTAAGACTCAGCTCTTGACCATGAAACTTGAGGGCTGCACTCTTGGCATCTCATAGTACATTCATTGGTAGAAAAGAAGGAGGGAAATGTGCATGTCTGGCCATAGTAAGAATTTCTCTGTTGGAATGAAAAAAACAGTAAGGCTAGGTTTTACACAGAAGTGCACAGGAGGTAGCAGGGACTCACTATGGTGATGAATGGGGGCGGGGGTGGGTGGGCAGCCAGACTAGCTTATTGCTCTACACTCCATGCAGTCTATGCCTATGTTTTTTAAATTTTTTTTACATTTATTTATTTCTGATACAGACAGAGCACAAGTGGGGGAGGGGCAGAGAGAGAGGGAGACGCAGAATCCGAAGCAGGCTCCAGGCTCTGAGCTGTCAGCTCAGAGGGGCTCGAACTCACAAACTGCGAGATCATGACCTGAGCCGAAGTCGGACGCTTAACCTACTGAGCCACCCAGGTGCCCCAGTCTATGGCGATGTTTTATCTCCTGCCCTCATATTCATGGAAGGTGCTAGAGAAAGTAGCTTAGTCCACACTTTAGAAGTGAAATCATTAAGGCCAGGGAAGATGGTAGTTTGCCCAGAATCATTCAAAGGGGTGACTTGATGACAAGGGCACAGATGTGTCACCTTGTCCCTGTGCTCCCCATGTGTATCCCAGTGGAGGCTTCTTTTTTTTCCCCCAAATATTCTATTTTTTTCTATATATTTATTTTTTTTGAGAAAGAGCGAGCAGGGGAGAGGGGCAGAGAGATAGACTGAATCACTAAGCAGGCCCCACACTCAGCGCAGACCCCAACACAGGGCTTGATCCCACCACCCTGGGATCATGACCTGAGCTGAAATCAAGAGTTGGATGCTCAACTGACTGAACCACCCAGGTACCCAAGAAAGATTTTTTTAAGTAATCTCTATACCCAATGTGGGACTTGAATTTACAACCCTGAGGTCATGCTCCACCCACTGAGCCAGCCAGGCACCCCCACCAGTGGAGGCTTCTTAATGGGAGGGTGAGATGTTGTCCCCTTCACCTTTGAGGTGAGCAGGGCAGATGATGGTTAGATGAAACTTTTGTCTCCTCACCCACTTGGAGAAACCAATGTCACCAGTCTTGAAATTGTCCATGGGAAGCAAGAAGTAAAGCATTTCAGAGAATTTCTGAAATTTCTAGGGCTCTGTTGGCTTGCTTAATCATTAAGAAGGAGCAGTGTATTTGCAGGGAGGAAAAAATTTCAATGAATCCGATGTGAGAGCCATAAAAGACAACTCTTTTAGTTGAAAGGAGCGTTCTTTTACTTTATGTAGGAATTTCACTTCCTCAGCTGCTTTGCAAACCAGCTACTTCAAAAAGCCATCTGTGTTATTGCTGGGTAGATAACAGTGGGAGACATTCCTGTTTGGGGACAAAATTCACCTAGAAGAAAAGAAACAGTTTAGCTGTTCCCTTTTATTTGATTCTTCCCTATGCCAAGAGGGAAAACAGGTATCAGTTTTCATTGTTTGCTCTAGCTGGTTACAGGCCAGTGATGGGTTCTTTACCTAAGCTCCCTGGGTTGGGTGTGGGGGATTGGGGCTCATTCTACCCTCCTTCTCATTTGTCTTCCTGCACTGTAGAGGCTAAAAGCCATGCCTCTGGTTTGCAGCAAGGGTTAACGATGAGATTTCGGGCTTCCAGTCAGATGGGCCTGTGGGCCATCTGCAGGTAGGAGTGAAGGCAGCATAAGCTGGCATCCCAGGCAGGAAGCAGGGCCTGTGTTCTGCAGGTTTGGTTCTTGGGGAGATTTCCTGGTGTTTTTTGAACCAAGGGCATTTCTCTCTGGAGAAAGCCACAGTAGCAGTGGCTTCCTTATCATTGAATCTCTGCTAAGCTGTGTGATCCTGGATCTTTGTCACTCAGCAGCTTCCTGATTCCCCAGCTCCTGGTTGTGGCCGAGGTGGCAATTCTCTTGGCGGGCCAGTTCTCAGGTGTTGTTCTGGGATTTATTCCTGAAAAGCCAGCCTGGGGCCTGTTCCTCCAGCCTTTTTTAGTAGTTTTGTAAGCACCTAACCCCTTAATTAATAGCATGCACTGTCTTAGGCCATTCAGGTTGCTGTAACAGAATGCCATAGACTGGCTGACTGAAATAACATTTAGTTCTCACAGTTCTGGAGGCTGGGAGGAACAAGATCACAGTGTCAGCACATTTAGTGTCTGGTGAGACCTGGCTCGCTGTGTCCTCACATGGTAGGAGGGGCAAGGACTCTCTGGGGTCTTTTTTATAAGGGCACTAACCCCGTTCATGAGGGCTCCACCCTTGTGACCTGATCACCTCCCAAAGACCCCAATGCAATTACCACAAACTGGGGATAAGGTTTCAACATACACATTTTGTGGCAGACACAAATGTTGTCTTTAGCATGCATCTTATAATTGATGCCTCTTAGACTTGAAATATGGTAGCTTCTCTTTCTTGAGTGCTTTCTACTAATGAGGCACTTTGCATAGATGTGTTGGGTTAGGTTCCCTAGGAGCAGAGTTTCTTCTGTGGGGTGCCGAACAGCAGCTGAGGCACGGTTGTATTTGACCTTTATAACTACCCCAGGAGACAGGTACTGGCTGCTCCCAGTTTCACAGCTGAAGAAACAGAACCCACATGGCTGGAATGACTTGTCAGTGGGAATGCCGGTTGCAAGCCCGGGTACATTCCCTCCTTACTGTGTCACCCCATCCTGCCTTGCACGGACTACGTGGTCACCTGGTATTTGCTTATTCTGTTTCTGGTATAACGTATTTGCGAGAGAAAAATGACAGCAAACTCATCTTCCAAAGTACTTCATTAAAAAAAAAAATTTTTTTTTAATGTTTATTTTTGAGACAGAGAGAGATAGAGCATGAATGGGGGAGGGTCAGAGAGAGAGGGAGACCCAGAATCCCAAGCAGGCTCCAGGCTCTGAGCTGTCAGCACAGAGCCAGACGCAGGGCTCAAACTCACGGACCACGAGATCATGACCTGAGCCGAAGTCGGACCCTTAACCAAATGAGCCACCCAGGCGCCCCCTGCAGAGTACTTCATTTTGTGTTGTTATTCGAAAGGTATCTTTGAAATGAAATTTCTTAGTTTTCTGCTATAAGCTTCTCCACAAATGTATAATACTCATTTCCTCCTGACTGCAATTACTTTTCTTGTCTTTCCTTTTAACAGAATCGGGCTCATTCCCTGAGTCCCACCCAGAAGGCTTCCCTCTCTCTTCACTGAAACATGAAAACAGCACCTCTATCATCTCATTAATCATTTAGTGTATACTTTCAGGGTTCTCTCCTAGATCATAAACCCTTTGAAAACAGGAACAATTGCACTAATATGACAGTAATAATATTAGCATCACTGTAGGGCACCTATTTGTGCCAAGCACTTGATGGGCATGACCTCTCCTCCTCCTCATAGCACTGCACAGTGGACGTCGTCTTGTGACCTTGTCACTTGGAATTTTGAGTCTTACTGGAAGGGGTGAGTGGGTTTTTGTCATGTGTCAACCCTACGGAAGCCTCCCTGATCACGTCTCCCTCCTCCCACCCTGCAGACATCCACGCTCCTGCCTTCTGTGGTTTCCATGCCCTCGTTTCTCTACTGTTGTTCCAAACGTGTGCCCTCAGACATTTTCAGTCTTGGCTTTGAGCTGTTCTGTGTGTCTTCTTCCACCACTTACTTCTTCGCTCAACGGTATGTGGGGTGCAGCCTCGCTCCTGTGCGGAGTGTGCTCACCGTCACTCTGGTCTGTGTCCCGCTGTGTGTGCGTCCACACTTCCTCCTGTTTGGGGACGTTTGGCACTCCTGGTGCTTGCTGCTGCAAACACTTTCCTGCGAGTATTCCCTGCTCATCTCCTGGAACACAGGTGAGCACTTCTCCGGAGCACAGACCTCTGGAACCGCTGGGTCTGCGTGATTCTTCCCAGTTCTGTTTGCTGGCAATTCAGATGCATCTGCACCCCCTCCCTGACCATCCTGAGGGGACAGGAGGCCTTGCTTGTGACCTGAATGTCTGTGGTCAGGTGCCCTGGGGGAGGAGGAGAGGAGGAGGAGAGGAGGTGTGGACGGTACTTCCTGCCGGCAGCCCAGGGAGGCAAAGCAGGGACAGCCTAGCAGGGCGGTGCCCTGGCACCTGCTCTCCGGGGACCTGGAGACCGGGGCCTCAGGCTGCAGCGTGGCAACATCACAGAATCCACTGCGTGGTCACTGCTGGGCTGTGGGACACTAGAGGATGTTACATTCAGAGGCCCTTTGGCCTTGGTTCCTTCATGGACCCGCACGCAATAAGCAAAACCGTGTGGCTCTGGGGGCGTTGTCCAAAGCCTGGCTGCTACTGCGTGCTGCTCTGGCTCCTGCTGCAGGGTCCAAGGTCGTCGGATGTCTGTCCCCAGATGTCAGCCCCGGCCACCCTCTGCAGTCACCTCCCTGGCCTGTGTGCTCCCCCGCGGCCTTAGACACTCGCCCAGCCCTCAAGCCCACGGTTGTCCCGTGACCCCTTTGCCCACGGCTGGCTTTGACCTTCCTGGAAGAGGAGTCTGTGTCGCTGGCCTGTCACCAGGAGGGCCGGGATGGGTGATGTCAGGGCCCCCCCCCCCAACCCCCCACCCTCCAGCTAGGGAAGGGCCAGACTGGGGGGGGGGGGTCGCTGTGAGCAGAAGAGCCCTGGGGGCTGCCCCTGGGCTGCTCCAGCCTCTCCCTTTGTCGTGGCTGGTGGGGCAGCCGGAGGATGGTCACGTGGGTGAGGGGAGCTCCCACTCCTGGGATCCCCTTCTCCCCCATCTTCCCTCCTTGGCCTGGACTCCACGCTGAGACCTGGCTTCCCCCTCAGCTGCTCCTGTCGCCTCCCTCTGTGAGGGTGACATGAGGCTCCCATCTGGCCATCCACCTGCTGGCGTCTCTGCCCCTCTTGCAGGCCCATCGTGCAGCCCCTGTGGAGGGTCGCGCCGCCCCTGCAGCCCTTTAGGACCCCCAGGGGCCTGTGCCGCTGCTCCCGCGGCCGTTCTGCCTCCCCCCTTCCCGGGCCTGGGCGGCTGCTCCGTCCTGGGCCTGCAGATGCGGGGCCTCTGTGCTCACGGCCTAGCTGTGGGGCCTGTGGCTGCTCCTGCTGCTCCTCACAGCGGACCCTCCGCCACAGCTGTGCACTTGGTGACTGCGGAAGGGGTGGTCGCGCTGGGCGTCCCATGAGCAGAGTCTGTGTGGGGACACGTGGATTCCCTCCCTTCTCCCAACTGTCCCCTTCCAACCTAGCCAGAAGAGGTGGCCTCGGACAGCTCAGGGAGCATGTGGAATTCAACTTTACCTCTGTCTCCTCTCCATGGAGCCCTCGGCTTATCCTGAGAGGAGGAGAAAGAGATGAGGTCGAGAAGACAATGAGGCCAGAGCATCTCAGATGGAGAGCATATAAGGGAAGACCCTTCGAGGCTGTCGAGTCCGTTGTCCTGGGGAGTTTGGGGAGGGCTCCCTTCTGCGGCAGGCCCGAGGGGCAATCTTGGACGGCAGGAGAGCGTGAAAGTTCCCCATGAAAATCGTTCACTGTTCTGTTTTGCACATTGTGCTCGTGTCTGTAGAACTGATTCCTACAAGTGAGACTGCTGGTCAGGGGGCGTGCTCATGCACACGTTACAGGTGCCCCCCCCCCCCCACACACGTTGTGCTGGTGTGCAGTGTAGGGCAGTCATGGGGAGACAGACTGCAGCTCAGACAAACCAAGGACTTTCTCCTGGTTAAAATGTCTCACAACCGCTGAGACCGTATGCGTCGGGGCAGGAAGTGTTCCAGAAGTGCACGGATGACCAGGGTGTTGTGGAGGGGATTACAACGTTGGGAAATGCAGCTTCGTGTCATGCTCTGGAGAACCCCTAGGACTCTCCAGTGTGGCATGTCCCCCAGGGGTGACTCTAGGCCCTGAGCCCTTTCAAATGCGATACTTTTTCCTGGTGGGCCCAAGAGGGCTCAGGGGCTTCACAGCGTCAGCTGTTGGCCGCATTCCCATCCTCCTGCACCTGCAGACTTACAGCTGAGCTCGGCTTACTCTTTGCCCCAACAGGCGTGCCTACTGTGTCCTCAGCTGGGCTGGCCTGGCCCTGATGCACCTCCCCTGTGGTCCCAGGTGAGACCTGACCTTGACCTGGCATGACCTTTCCCCATAGACCGTGAGGTCTTCCCTGGTGTCTGAAGCAGGGACACTATTGCAGGTAAGGTACAGCCAGTGACAGACTTCAGGTGTAGCTGCTGTCTCATGATTGTGGATGGAGATCTTGAGAAACCTCAAAGAAAGGAGGCTGGTTAGTGCTAAGGTCGTTGTGGAGCCCCTGCCCTGTGGCCTATCGTCTGCTCCTTCGTTGGGCCAGCAGCATGATGTCAGGTAGTGGGCAGTGGGGCTGGTCATGTGATGCCCCTGCCACCATTTATCGCACCCAAAAGTCATTTCTCTCCTGTTGGTCTGAACACAGTCAAACGTTGGTGCATGCGTGAATACATCTGTCTTCCCTGCCTGGCTGCCTCTGCGGGTTCCCGGGGAGGTGCTGAGCATGTCCATTGCACAGCTGGGGGCTGTGTGATGCAGGGACATCCATCTGTTGCTCAGGACTATTGAGACAATTCTGCATCTGGCTTTCATTTCCCCACAGGGCCTGTTAGAGTTAACTCATTTTCCTCTGGGACCTCAATCCACTGACTGGCTGTGCTCATCTGCCACTGCCCTCTGTGACCTGCCCACCACACAGCCTTTCTCCTCGACCCCTGGCAACAACCTCTTCAGAGCAGGGCCATCACCTGCAAGGTGGTGGGGTGGCAGGCCTCGCCCCTCGGGGGATGCATGCAGGAATGGGGTACACATCTATTTATAATCTCTACTTCATTGATGAGAAAATCAAGGTGAAGAGCCACAATTCTGCCTATGTCTCATCATGTCTGAGATCTCTGGGTAGAACCAGAATTCCCTACAAGGGGCTGGAAGTGCCTGGCTATCATAGTTCTGATCCTACTGTGGGTCATTAGTAAATACTGGGTGAACGACCTTTGGTCATTATGTTTTTGTGACCCAGGATTTCAGTGTACAAGAAAGCCGTGTGGCCTTAGGGTCCTGGTCACTGAACACTGGACCTGTGTGATTTGGTGCCACTTTCCAAACGTTGGCCGGGGAACCTGAACTGGGCTGGCTATATCAAGATCATAATGGGGGCTAATAAAAAATACAGATTTGGGGGCTCCATCTCTGAAGATCACAATTTACATAAAGTCTGGGATAGGACCTTGGAATCTATATCTTAAGCAAATTTCCCAGATACTTCTGATGTCAGTTAAACTTATCAACTAACTGGATTGAGAAAGCACAGAGAACAAAAGTGGCTAATTAAAGATTGGTAGGAGGGCGTCTGTAGATTATGACGATTTTTCTTGACTCTATGTTAGAGGTTTGCCGACAAAGGAAAAAGAGAAGCAGAATTTTATGGTGTCAGCCACACTGCTTGTGTGCTTTTGTTGGTGTTGTTTAATTAAAGTTCAGTGACTCTGAAGGGACTGAATGCAAATTCTTAGATAGACTCCATCTTTCAAAAGCACTGCCTACTAGGGGCGCCTGGGTGGTGCAGTCGGTTAAGCGTCCGACTTCAGCCAGGTCACGATCTCGCGGTCTGTGAGTTCGAGCCCCGCGTCAGGCTCTGGGCTGATGGCTCAGAGCCTGGAGCCTGTTTCCGATTCTGTGTCTCCCTCTCTCTCTGCCCCTCCCCCGTTCATGCTCTGTCTCTCTCTGTCCCAAAAATAAATAAAAGTTGAAAAAAAATTAAAAAAAAAAAAAAGCACTGCCTACTAAAGCTGTGGTTCACACACCTCCCTACCCCCTTCACATAGAATGTGTACCAAATGAATACAATTTAAGGAGGGAAAACTTTCTGATGAACAAGAAGAGGTCTTGGGTTTGCTTTTTGCAGGTGGAAACGTAGAACCTTGCCCTGGGCTTAACCCTCAGGTATTTTTCTTGGAAAGGATGGATGAAATGAGTACTTAAAAAGAAAAAAGTTTTAAAAGACTTAATTTTTTTTTAATCTTTATTTATTTTTGAGAGAGAGAGAGTGAGCAGGGGAGAGACAGACAGAGAAGGAGACACAGAATCTGAACCAGGCTCCAGGCTCTGAGCTGTCAGCACCAAGCCTCACACGGGGCTCGAACTCACAGACTGCGAGATCATGACCTGAGCCGAGGTCAGACGCCCAACCGACCGAGCCACCCAGGCGTCCCTTAAAAGACTTTTTAAAAGACTTTTTCATATCTTAGAATGTTTAGGGCTAGAAAAGCCTTTGGAGTTTATCTGATCATTTCTCCCCCTCATTTTATAGGTGAGGAAACTGAGGTTGCCTCACATATTAGTCTCTCCTAATGCCGACACACAGACTTCAACGACAGAAATTTATGTTTGCACAGTTCCGGAGGCCAGGGAGTCCAAGATCAAGGTTTGGCTATGCGGTTCCTGATGGGAACCCTCTTCCTGGCTTGTTGACAGGCGCCTTCTCACTGTGGCCTCACAAGTCAGAGGGAGTGAACTCTGGTGTCTCTTCCTACAAGTGTACGAATCCTATCAGATCAGGGCCCCACTCTTATGACCTCATTGAACCGTAATTACCTCCTCACAGGCCCTAACTCCACATGTAGTCACATTGAGGGTCAGGGCATCAACATTTAGATTTTGGAAGACATTATTCAGTCCCTAGCATCCAGCTGGTATGGAACAGGACCAGGCCTACAATCCAAGTTTCCTAACTTGAAGTCTCACTCTCTTCTGAATACTCATAAATACTACTTCTCTTGATCACACTATCGAAATGGCACTCTTATAGATTTGGGGGAGTTAGTATAGGCTTCTTTAATCATCCATACTGAATCTACTTTGTTGCAAAGCAGGGGTTGGCAAGCCACTCCCCACAGTCCAAATCCAACTAGACACCTGCTGTTTGTGAGCTAATAATGGTTTTTACATTTTTAAATGGTTGGGGAAAAAGTCAAAAGAAAAATAATATTTCATGACATGAAAATCCTATAAAATTCAAATTTCAGTGTCCATAATGACTATTTCTTGGAACACCATTGTACCTAACTGTTTATATATTGTCTATGGCCATATGGGAGCTGTAAAAGCAGAGATGAGTACTTGCAACCAAGATAGTGTGCCCTCCAAAGCCTAAAATACTTATCATCTGCCCCTTTTTGGAGAAGGTTTGCCCACCTCTGATCAAAAAGGTTGGGTTTTGTTTCTAAAAGAATGACTAATTGTGTGTGTGTTTGTGTGTGTGTGTGTGTGTGTGTTTTAAAATAAGTAACAGCGTCTTCCAGCTTTTATTCTGACAATTTTCTGGGTGTCCTTTCTGGATGTCCATGTAGCATATCCCTATAACCCCAACGCTTTTGTGGGCCTAACCTCGTAGATGTTACATTGAGCCCCGTGCTCAGGAAGACAATCTGTGCTTGGGGTTCAATGCTCTGCCATTGTCGTTCTGAAATTCTTAATAGCTTTTATCATTGAATTTGTGTCTTGTTAGAGTAGTCCTATGGGGCACTGGGGCTTAGAGCCCTGGTTCACTCTCACCTCCCACCTCACTGAGACAGCCCCTCATTCCCAATCCTGGCCCCATGAGAGCTTGGGCACCTTCACCCCAGTGTTCCTATGGGAGTCAACAGTTGACCAGTGACCATCCTCATGACTGAAAACAAATAAAACCCATTATGACGGGTCAAGAAAGAGATCATGAAAGACAGGAAAAATCTTTTTGGTTTGCCTGCTTTTTGCACAAGGGCTCTGCATTTTTATTTTTCCCATGGCCCTGAAAATTATGTAGCTGCTCTGTTCTTATGACTCATAGCCTAGTGGTTTTATTGAATATAAAGAGCTATTTGTCCAAATTAGAGAATGTTATAGCACATAAAAAGGGAGATAAATTACACTTGTCTTTGCTCTTTTATTTCCACTCCCAGTATTAGCATTTTAAAATAATCACTCTTTTGATTTACTAACATTCTTTAATATTTATTTGGCAATGAATCAAGGCATTCGTTTGGGAATTAAAGACTAACATCATCAAAAGTTATGAATTTTCCTCTTGGTGCAGAGTTTAGCCATATTACAGATAATTAATAAATGTTTCTTTTTATGGTCTTTCCATTTAATAATGATCAAGTGATACACGACTTTACTGTTTTGAGAAAAGAATGCAGAAGTTTTAAAAAACAAGTTACTTTTGATGAAATGAACTATGCATAACTTGAAGGACAACTGTTTTTTAATAACAACTTTGATATATTAGAGATCAAACTAAGTGCCTACAGCAGGAGCATAGCACATTTATACATTCATATAATAAGCTCTCAGAATCTCATTGTCACACAGCTTCCCAGGCAATTCTGATGAAAAGGTCTGATAGTTGTTCACTGGCCAGCCTTGGAGAACCACTGCCTGATTCATCGATCCATTGGCTTAAAGGGATCATGTTTTAATACAATTCATCCTTCTTCAGGGGTCTTAAAAATTGTGATCTTTGAGGGGCACCTGTCTGGCTCAGGTAGTGGAACATGCAACCCTTGATCTCAGGGTTGTGAGTTTGAGCCCCACATAGCCTGTGGAGATTACTTAAAAAAATAAAATCTTTAGGGGCGCCTGGGTGGCTCAGTTGGTTAAGCGTCCGACTTCGGCTCAGGTCATGATCTCACAGTTTGTGAGTTTGAGCCCCGCGCTGGGCTCTGTGCTGATAGCTCAGAGTGTGGAGCCTGTTTCAGATTCTGTGTCTCCCATTCTGTCTGCTCTTCCCTGCTTGTGCTCTGTCTCTGTCTCTCAAAAATGAGTAAACGTTTAAAGATAATTTGAAAAAATAAATAAAATCTTAAAAAAAATTATGATCTTTGAGGCAATTGTTTGATTAGAGGTTGGGGGAAGAGGGAGAAAGAATTATCTAGAAAAAAACAGCTTGTTTCAATTATTCCTTAGAGGGGAAGGGATGTATAACAAGTAGAGATGATTTCTCTTCATAAAGGACCCAGATGAATAAACATGGTATGTTTATGCTTTTAACAAACATATGTTTAGATGAGTGAATTTTTAAATAATTTTGAGTTTTGGTGTGCCTGGGTGGCTCAGTTGGTTAAGCCTCTGACTTTGGCTCAGGTCATGATCTCACAGTCTGTGAGTTTGAGCCCTACATCGGGCTCTTGTGCTGACAGCTCAGAGCCCGGAGCTGCTTTGGATTTTGTGTCTCCTCTCTCTGCCCCTCTCCCACTTGTGCTCTGCCTCTCAAAAATAAATAAACATTTAAAAAGTTTTCTTTAATAATTTTGAGTTTTACTTTCATGTTAGAAGCTCATATCTTTCTCTATTCATTGGTCTTCCAGGGAAGAAGGCAACAATTCATGAGGATTCTTGATTATTCTTGATTATTAAGCAATTGGGCAATGATTCTTGATTACGGGGCAATTGGGCAATGCTTTTTCATTATTAGACAGTTCAAGATTTTACTAGTCAATTTGTAGTTGATATACATTTCCTGCTTCTACTCCCATAGCGTACTTCACCCCCATCAACATCTCCATCATAAGCAGTGGCAAGGGATTAGAAATGAAATACAAGCACATTCAGTGTTGCTATGCTCAGCTTAGGGTATAATTTCAGGATGCACTTAATATAACCAGTGTCTTTGTGGTTGTTAATGCTCTCTGGCTTTAAAATGAAATGCAAAGCAAAACTCATAATCAGATAGCAGCCAATCACACTCTAGAGAGAGTTTGCATAAATGTATTCTCTCTGCTGGGTTTTGAAATTTTGGAACATATCCCTCATCATAAAATGAAAGGATTTGCCTACCTTAAAGGTCTTAGGTTTCAGAATGCAGATGATGGTATTGGAGTGGGTTCTGATAGTATAGTAATCATACTACCCTTGCTTAGGCTGGCTCTAAGCCTGCTCTGGTCATTCTGAGGTATGTAGGGGGAACTGGTTTCTTCTGTCTGTCATCTCTCTGCTTCTGTGAAAGGACCAGGGTAGAAGTAGGGGACGGACTTGGCTGCTGGAGCATCAGGAAGTAGAAGCCAGTTAAGGCTGGTACCAGCTGTGACCAAGAGCAATTTACCTTTGGCTGTGGGGTAGGTTCGTAGGGAACTCTGGATTGGAGGCGTTGGGCCTCTCCAAAAATATGTATTAGCCACATGGCATTAAGAGACACTGTAGTTTTGGGGGCACCTGAGTGGCTCAGTCAGTTAAGCGTACGACTTTTGGCTCAGGTCATGATCTCACAGTTCGTGGGTTCAAGCCCCGTGTCTGGCTCTGTGCTGACAGCTCAGAGCCTGGAGCCCGCTTTGGATTCTGTGTCTCCCTCTCTCTCTGCCCCTCCCCTGCTCACACTCTCTCTCTCAAAAATAAACATTAAAAAAAGAGAGAGAAAGAGAGATACTGTGGTTTTCTATAAAGTATGAAGGCCAAACAGATTAGGATTTAATTCCAATTCTTTTACCAACTAGCTTGGCTTTAGGCTAGCAGTATGACTTCTATGAGTCTTACTTTCCTTATCTGTTAAAAGGGGAATCTCGGGGCGCCTGGGTGGCGCAGTCGGTTAAGCGTCCGACTTCAGCCAGGTCACCATCTTGCGGTCCGTGAGTTCGAGCCCTGCGTCAGGCTCTGGGCTGATGGCTCGGAGCCTGGAGCCTGTTTCCGATGCTGTGTCTCCCTCTCTCTCTGCCCCTCCCCCGTTCATGCTCTGTTTCTCTCTGTCCCAAAAATAAATTAAAAAAAAAAAACATTGAAAAAAAAATTAAAAAAAAATAAAAAAAAAGGGGGGGAATCTCTAAGATCCTTCCTGATGATATTAGTTTAGGTCTATTATCCTATTAGGAAAACGGCCATTATCATCACTGATCAGAAATACTGTAGGATTAACAGAGCATGAAAAGAAATACTGAAAACATGATTTGTTTGCAAGGTATAATAAAGAATACATCTGGTTTTTGTCCCCACTTCGTGGCATAGAGCTTCAAACCCCTGGGAACTTCCAGAGTGACAGGAGTGTCTTTGTTATGCTAAGGAGACAGTTCCTGGTGGGTCCCAAGGTAGCTTCAGGACAGGATCTGGTCACCCGAAAAACCCACCACTTAAGAGTTGGAACTTTGGGCCAGCCTGTCCTCCACTGGACAGGAAGGGAACTGAAGATTGAGCTTAGTCATGTGGCCAATGATTTAATCAATCACGTATAATAATGAAGCCCCCTATAAAAACTCTGGACATTGAGATTCAGTAGAGCTTCCCAGTTGGTGAACATGTTGGTGTCCTGGGAAAGTGGCGTGGCTACATTCCATGAGGAGAAGGCATGGAAGTTCTGTGCCCTGTCCTGTCTTCTCTGTCTTCCTGCCCCCAGACCTTGCCCTATGCGTCCCTTCATTTGGCTGTTTTTGAGTTGCAACCTATATGCTAAACTGTAATCAGAAATGCATGTGGCCTGCGAACCCACCTTGTGGCTGGCATCTGAAGTGAGGGCAGTCTTGTGGAGCATGGAGCCTTTAAACCTGTGTTAGTGTGATATTAACTGCAGGTAGTTAGTATCAAAATTGTGTTGCAAGGCACCCACTTGGTGTTGGACAGTTGGTGTCAGTTTGCCTAGAATTAACATGAATTATAATATTTTATATGGACTTTCCACCTTTGTGCTTTATTTCAGTAGAGCCAAATAATGACTGTATTTGTAACTGCATATGATAATTTATATATTTAATATAAAATTATTTGATTACAGTCTTAGACTCTGTTCATGGATACCCAGCCTTTAGTTTATGTTCATTTATTTTGGTCATCTTCTTACATAGTATGTTCATGACTTAGAAAGGAATAAACAAATAAAACTGAGGGAGAGCTTTAAAAAATTTTTTTTGGCTTAAAAAATAATGCATAAGTCCTCAGGTATAAATGCAAAATTATTAATTGATAATTCAGATGGTAGATGTCAGTGTAGAACTAGAAGATAGAAGTGTTTGGAGAAAGAGTCCAGGTTCTGATGATTTGAGAAGGAAAGTGTCTGTGATAGAGACTAGATGTGTTCATCAAACTCGATTTTTCTCTACTTCCTGGGCATGTGAGAAGATTTCCCATATGTTTAATGGTGATGTTAGGACCATATGAGTAGTTTTGGCCAATGGGTTATGAGCAGAAGGAACAAGTGTCTCTTTGAACCAGAAGGCACTTAATGAGCAGGTGTGAATGCTCCATGTCACGTCAGACTCTGAAGCAATGTTACTATGGTGGCATCATGAGACGCAGATTGTCTGGCAGCCCAGATTGCTGAGTGACTACAACACGTGGGATGTGCAAATGAGGAAGAAATAAATCCTTGTTATGTGAAGCTACTAATAGTTCAGGATTAATTTGTTACCATAGCACACCCTAGGTTATCCTAACTAATGTAGTGGCTTTGGGTACGTACTTTTTTAGCATGGCTCTGAATACCTGTCCTGGGTTGGGCTCTTGAATGAATCGTGAGATTCTTGGTGGAAGATCTGAGCTGATGTAAAAGAACAAAGAGGCAAATGTTATGACGTGTGCATGTTAGAAACAAGGGGCACTATTTAGCCGGGGTTACATGTTGGTGTTTCACATAGTGACCAGATATTTGAGCTGCAAAGACCCTTAGGGATCATTCAGCTCACTAGCAGACATCACTGGTTGCATCCCTAAGTCCATTCCTCACCCTTGCTTTCCTGCTTACAGAGCCCATGTGCTCAGGGAAGGGACTCCCTGGCTCCTTGGTCTAAGCTAGTCATGTGACCTAACACCCTCCCCCATTGATTTAGGAGTGGCCATGTGACTCTGTTCTGGCCAGTGTCACATAAGAGGCCGTTTCCTGGGGGCCTCCTGGGGAAGGCTTTTCTTGCTCTTAAAAAGTGATATGTTAGAAAAAGCATTCACTTTTGTACC